CTGTCCTGCGAAGGTTGCTCGCGGCACTAAACTCGCCAAGGCCACAAAAGTCAGCTCCGTTATCAAGGAAAAGGATAGACTTCATGGTAACGTCAAAAGCAGGTTCGGTAAAATGGAAACTTCGGCATTGAAGCCTATTAACAAGCTAACAGCTAAGGAGAGCAGAAAGATGGCAACAACCAGTTCGACGATCAAGAGTACTGCTTCAACTACCGAAGTCAAGCAATCCCAGTCAAAAGCGAAAAGAGGATTTTTTGGAACCGGTAAATAATTCTATTGGCACAGCACTCTAGTAGATGATTAAATCGTTGTCCAAATGCATCACGCTGAAAATCAAAACATTATCAGAACAATCTCTCATTGATATACACACACATATATATATATATGTCAACAATTGTTAACAACATTCGTTTATTGCGATGGACAGTGATTTAATAAATACCAAGACGTAGAATCGTGGTCGTAGAGGTATCGAAGAAAATTTCATTATGGAACACAGGCATTTGCAATATGGGCCTAAAACGAAATGAACAAATATATAATATAATAGGCAATAAAGATGATATTAGAAAAGAAATGGAAACGGTGTAAGCTTACGTTTGGTCTTCGTCTATCTCGGATATAGGTGCCTCGCGGATCTTGCATCGTGTCTGAAGAGAATCTAACCAAGTCCAAGTGCTAGATGAACATCATCTATGGTCCATGAAACACGCATACACGTACTTTTCTGTGGACGACGATGGCTGTTTCCTACGAGTTATCATCCGGGATATTTCAAACAATACATGTTACATATTAAACTCGCGAAAACAATTATTTATTTTTTTGCTTTTTATTTCGTTTATCACGTAAGTCCTATCAAAATTCATCAATCAATTAGATCTTACAATTAGTGGATCTAAAAGGTAATGATATACAAAAAAAAAAAAAAAGAAAAAAAAGGAAAGAAAAAGAGAGAGAGAGAGGAAGATAGAGACAGAAAAAAAATTAATTCTGCCTCGCCGTGTCCACAATGTTTGTCTGTACATTCTGTAAAGTAAAAAAAAAAAAAAAGAGAGAGAGAGAAAGAGAGAAAAGAAAAATTAAAAAAAGAAAAATTAAAATAATAAGATATTAAGACTTCTGCTACCACTTTTCTTTGTCTTAT